TAAAGACTGTAACTGAATCCCTCTCTTAGAAAGATTAAATCTTACGGGAATAGCCTCTTTAAGAAAACGCCAAATGAAAATGTTTACCTTCTTCGGAATTAAGGGGCTCCAAAGACAAGGATCGTTGCTTTCACCATTCGAATCAGCTAGCTCTTGGATTAACTTTGACATGTGTTTTACTGTGAAAATCCCTCTTTTGTGCCAATTCCAAGACCACACATCCTCGCCCGAAGTATTAAAATGCGTTTGAGAGAGTTGCCTTTTTTAAGCTAGAAGATCATCTAAGCTTCTTCCTCTAACCGTTGTATTCCAGTTCCAAGTACCAGACCAAGAACCATTAACATAGGTCCATCTATCTTTGAAGACAGCGTTTTTATCCCTTTCTAAAGCATAAAGTCTAGGGAATATATCTTTCAGCTTTGACCCTTGGCCTATGCTTGCGTCTTTCCAAAAGAGAGAGTTAGACTCTTTAGCAATCTGTTTCGTAAACGAGTGAATGACATTCTGACTTTCCACTGTCACATTTCTGCAAGTGTTGACAATAGAAGCCCAAACACTATTTCTAGCCAAAGGCCTATTAGAAAAGAGACCACCACCCTCACCATAAAATTCAGAAATTACATCCTTCCATATGGCATTAGAACTAGATAGGAACCTCCAGACCCATTTTGCTAACAAAGCATCATTTTTTATTTTTAAACAGACAACTCCCAAACCACCTTTTGACTTTGAGCACAAAATTTTCTCCCAAGCGACCCAATGCATTTTTTTTCCTCCTCCTTATGTCCCCAAAAAAATMTTCTCCTTATAGATTCCAAGTTGTTGATAACTGACTTGGGCGCTTTGAATAGAGAGAAGTAGAACAGCGGAAGGGAAGATAGCACCGACTGAATTAGTGTAAATCTTCCACCTATGGAGAGGCATTTTGACTTCCAGTTTGACAGATTTTTTAGAAATTTGTTTTCCACAACTGACCAAGAAGCTTTTTTCTTCATGTTACCACCAACGGGAAGTCCCAGATAAATGAAAGGAAAAGAAGAGGCCTTGCATTTTAACATACCATCCATATTGTTGATCTCCACCTCCGGAACTCCAATACCAAAAAGGTTGCATTTGGATATATTTATCCGCAGTCCTGAAACTTCATGAAAGCAATTAAGAATATTAGTAAGAGTTACTAAATTCTTACGCGACCATTTACCGAATATTAAAGCGTCATCCGCGAATTGAAGGAGAGAAATATTTCGATTGGATTTAGCCAGCCGGATGCCTTTAAACAGCCCCTGGTTGCAAGCAGATTTTATCATGAGATGTAAGACTTCCCCTATAAGCAGAAAAAGAAACGGAGAAAGGGGGTCTCCTTGTCTTAGTCCCC